GGGGAGGAGTCTGACAGGGAAGAATGCCACTTGCCCAGCTCTCTGCTGGCTTTCAGTCACTTTCTCTGCTACCCACAAGCAAATTGGGTCCTTCTGGTGCTGATTTCTGGGTGGGTGGTTCTGTATATGTTCTGGGACCCTGTGGGTCTCTCCAACGAACTGTCCTGTGAGGCTGAGAGTGCCTCATGCTGCCTCAACCCCCACAGGTTTTTTCAGTCAGAGGTTTGAGGCTTTATTTCCCTGCATTGGAATCTGCATTTCCCTGGGTCTTGCTCCCCAGTTGTTCCTCCCAGTTTATCCACACGCAGATGTGGGACTGCCAACTCCAACAGCTGCCACCTTGCCACAAGTCCACTCCACCACAGCTGCCTTTCTCTGTCCCTCCTGCCGGTCTGGGTGAATGTTTCTTAACTCCTTGGTTGTTGGACTTCCATACAGTTTGATTTTTCTGACAGTTCTGGATATTTTTTGTTTCTAAATTTGTTGTTGTCCTTCTTTTGGTTGTGTGAGGAGGCAAACTGTATCTACCTATGCCTCCATCTTGGCCGGCAGTCTCATTCTTCTTTTATTCAGTAGGTTGTCTTTGTTCTGTAAACAGTTTATTCTGCCATACAAAAGCTTTTTGGTTTCATGTAAGCCCATTTGTTTATTTTTTCTTTGGTTTTCCTTGCCCAAGGAGATACAACAGAAAAAATATGCTAAGAGAAATGTCTCTAATTTTACCGCATATGTTTTATTCTAGGAGAATGATGGTTCAAAATGCTACATTTAAGTCTTTTAATCCATTTTGTGTTTTTTAAAATTTTCATTTATTGACCACAGCGAGGGGAAGGGTGAGAGGAAAGGAGAGTCAGGGAGAAGGAGGGAGGAAGGAGAAGGGGGGATTTGTGGTTACAATTATTTATATATTCATAGGTTCATTCTTGTATGTGCCCTGACTAGGGATCAAACTCACAATTTTGGCATATCGGGATGATACTCTAACCAACTGAGCTACCCGGCCTGCATGAGTTTATGCTTACATATGGTGTAAGAATGTGGTCTAGCTTCATACTTTTGCATGTATGTGTCCGATTCTCCCAACAACTGAATAGACCATCTTTTCCCCACTATATGTTCTTGGCTTATTCAACAAATATTAAATGACCATATAGTTATCAGTTTATTCCTGGGCTCTCCATTCTGTTCCATTGATCTATATGTCTGTTTTTATGCAAGTGCCATGCTGCATTGATTACTATAGCCTTGTAGTATAGTTTGGTATCAGGCAGTGTGATACCTCCAACTTTGTTCTTCTTTCCGAAGATTGCTGAGGCTATTTGGGGTCTTTCATGGTTACATATAAATTTTTGTATTACTTATTCTAGTTGAATAAAAAACGCCATTGGTATTTTTATAGGAATTGCACTGAACCTATAGATTCCTCTAGGTAGTATGGACATATTAATAATGCTAATTCCTATTCATGAGAATAGTACATATTTCCACTTGTATCTTTTTCAATATGTCTCTTCAGTATCTTACAATTTTCCAAATATAGGTCTTTTACCTCTGTGGTAAAATTTATTGCTAGGTACTTCATTTACTTACTTACTTATTTCTATTGTTGTTCAAGTACAGTTGTCTGCATTTTCTCCCCAGCACTCCCCCCCACCCCAGCCATTCCCACTTCCCTCCCCTGATCCCACCCCCCCTTGGTTTTGTCCGTGTGTCCTTTATAGTTGTTCCTGAAAACCCTGAGTCCTTTTCCCCTCACAATCCCCTCTGGTTACTGGTTAATTTATTACTCTGATACTGTTATAAATGAGATCATTTGTTGTGCATCTCCACCCCTCTTACCAGTCTCAATGTAGCTTCTTTAATTCCATAGTTGTAGGAATTCCATTCAAACAAGTAGGAACTGTTTGATACCAGACAGTTCTGAATGATGGTTGTTTTACAGTTTAGTTGTAATTTTGATGTGGTTGTGGTTAAGTTCACTTTTAAATCACATAATGGGATTCAAAGTCATCTTAAGTAAGGAGCCAATGTAGGCAATAATCTAGATTGGTGTTATTTTACTCAAAGCAGAGTTGCAGATGAGCCATGAATATCTGAGCTGGGTGAGCTTGTCTACAGACAAACATCCCAAAGACTGATAGGAAACAAGTCTTATACTATACTTGCCTTTGTAGTCAAAGTGAAGAATGTCCTGGCTATCTGATCCAAAATATCAGGAAGTTCTACAGCAAAAATTGAATCCCACTTTGAAGGGATCTTGAGTACAGAGAACCCACCTATAAATCTTCATTCATTGCTAGCCTTCCAGAGAAAAGATAATCGATGGGAGACTGAAGGAAGGATGGTATTTTAATGATAAGACAAAAGCCACAGCAAAGGTATAAAGTGGAAATAATGCAATCACTATTTACCACCAAGACTGCAGCACAGAGTTGTTTCTCAAATGGAAAGCAATCCAGATAAGTTTTTGAGCTTCCTTTCTGGAAAATAGTTTATTGCTGAATATAACTGAAAATGCAGATTCTTCCTTAGAAGTCTGGGATAACTTTTTCTCTAATATCATTCAACCAGAAGGAGAGGTCTATTCTGGCCTGAACAGAGGGTTTTAATTGTAAATGTAATTAAAATAGCCATCTCCCTCAGGACCTCAGGGAGCTTAAGCTGGACAACAGCGCATTAACAGACTACTTGATGGTGTTGATAACATCTTCTGGAACACTATCAGAGAAGGCCAGATAGGCTATTTATAATCCTGAAGTAAAGAGGAGTGAGGGGTGGGCAGGATGACAAGCATGAGTCATGCTTTATTCCCTTTCTACTGAAGACTCTTACAAAGCCTTCCCTCTGACTAAGCACAAGTAGCCTGGCACCTGACAGGATCCAAATATAGGACCCAGGAGCTTAGGAGGTAACTGTGCTTAGCAATATTATTAATTCCAAAATGGCAAACAAATGGACAATATAGGAAAAATAAGTTAAGAGAGGGAATAGTGATCATGATAAGAAAAATATCTGAAAAAACAGAACCTGACTTTCTCTGTTGAGTTCTCCTGTATTGCTGCTCTGGAATCCCTTTTAAGGCCTTTGCCATAAATATCTATTTCAATAAAAGTATCTTACATTTGAATAGAATATATAAGAAAAATAATACCATATCAAATATTAGGAGACCAAATTAGATTCTAATTCCACTCATGTCACAAATCTGCTCTTATCAAGGACACTTCAACCTCTCTGGGCCTCATAGAAAAACACTGGTAGGGATAAAGAAGGGGTTTACAAAGTATGAAGACAGTTTCCTCTAGAGGCAGATTGCTAGGGTTCCTTTAAATATGCTTTGGAAGTCTTACCTCCTTCCTTGCTAGTCCCGCCCTGCCTCAACTGTGCTTACTCAGAGATCGGAGACTGCTCTGTCAAGGCTCTACAGAAGCAGGTCTTTAGGTCTTTTTACACAGTGCCTTTCTCTTCCCATGCCTCAGCCTCTAATAATTTCCTTTTTCTTCTTTAATCTACTTGCCATCATCTTCATTATCAATAGCAGCCCCACCCACAACCTCAGGGTGGGGTCTCTGCCAGTCTTCACCCCCATTCCCTCCTGCTGTTGGTGACTGCCTTTTCTGCTCAGATCTCACTCCAACTCTCACTTGCCATTCCCATCCAAAAGCCACCCCCTTAACAGAAAAAGATTCCCACTGCATAGGAAAGCAGTTCAGAAGTACAGGAAAAGAGAAAAAAATTGCTGTTCCTACTGGTAGCATTTTCGTTGCCGTGAATGTTTCTGGGACATAGTAGGAGCTAAAAATGTATCCCAATGAGTAAAATAGTGTTCTCTAATCAAAACTCTCAAAGCTGTTTCCCAGAGTGAAGTTACTGTATACATGGTAGTTCTGTATTTCGTATAAACATGACAGGTAAAAAGCTTTCTGTAGGCTGACCTGGGAACCCTACTTTCACTAGACCTTGTTTCTATGGGAAAATTCTGTCTGAGTCGCAATCAACTTACTAATGACATTTGACAACTAAGTACCTTTCCTTCCTCAGGAATGGTTGGTAAAACCAGGAAATTTAAAAATCTGTTAGGCAAAAGAAGAAATTAAAAAGCAGCGATCTCTGGATTGTACATAATTCTATGTACATGTATTATCATATAAAGATATGCATATGAATAACACATATATACAAACATGTAAGGAGTAGGTTGGTAAAAGTAAATTACTAACTTGCTCTCCTCTCTCTCTCTCTCTCTCTCTCTCTCACACACACACACACACCCCACTTGTATCTTCTTTAAGAGCATGAGGTTGACCTCCCTAGACCAGTCCCAAAAGTAGACATTTCCTGTGAGAAAGGGGTTTCAGTCATAGTAAGAATAAACACAGAGGAAGTAAAGATCACATGGTAACACCAGAGGATCAAGAAAAAACAAAAATTTGGAGAAGAACGTAAGACACATAGAAAAGTTAAATATGGACAGGGTATTTACCCAAAATACTCATTTCTAAACAGAATCCTCTTTAGCAAATGAATGCATGGCAGGTCCCACTGGTTGCCTGAAAGTCTTAGAGTAGATAACAGATACCCTCTTTTAGAGAAGATACCCAGTGGTGCTCTGAGAAGGAAGAACACATAGAGGCGGAATCAGGAAGGTATATGTAGGGGCAAGCAAGTGAAGACCTAAGGGGAGAAGCCAGAAAAACCATGGCTGAAGCTTCTGAAACTGCTGAGCTGAAGTGCTCAGGTTTGGTAGGTTGAGTCACAGGTGCCATGGGTCCTGAAATAAGAGGATGAAAAGAAGAACAGAAATGATGGGAGTCTGTCAGGGCATTCCATGTATTAGCCATCAATAATCAACAGGTACCAAGTACCTGGCACTGTATCTGGCTCTTCAATACAATCTTTGACATTAAAATTTAAAGGGAAGGTGACTCAAAAACGGGGAGAGGAGGGCAAAAGGTGTGGGGGAGAACGGTACCTTTATGTTTTTCTCCAAGTTGACTCACCTCATAGAAAAGTCCTTCTGGGAACTGCTGGAAGCACTGAGCACACACAAAACACTGCTCATGGTACAACTCGCCATTACTGTTTACGATCTTCTCAGCGGGAGCAAAACCCCCCTTGCAGCGCTCACAGATAGCATTGGCAAGGGCATTGGCCATGTTACTGTAACAAACAAAGGAAGGGACAGATTAACCTCTTCTTAGACTTAGGACTGAAAAACAGAGTGGACTAAAGAGCACACATTCTGCCTGTTTACAAAAATCATCTTTTATCTAAAAAGCCCAATTTTTTGCTTGTATCTTAAGTTCTCAAGTAAAACTGTTCCTATCTTTGCCATAGCATGTTAAGTCCTCAAAGCTCCTTCTGCTTGGAACCTGTTTTCTTTAACATTTTGACATGCCTCTTGATAAATATACCACAGGTGAATGCCTATGGATACAGATGAAAGTCAAGAGTTGTCCCCATGGAGCTTTGAGTTTATAGCTTTATAAGTAGCTTAATTAAAATGTCAGAAAATCAACATTTCAAAGCCAATTTCTCTCCCTTCTGGGAACAGAATTTAAACCTCATGTCAAGTAAATACCACGTCAATGCACAGATTATCCCTTTGATTAGACCCTGTTGAAAGCAATTGCTCAGGTAACTCTTAAAATGAGTCAAAATTCCTTAGTCCTATAATCTAATTGGTAAAACAAATATTAAGCACTGATATTACAAAATATATCTTAAAATCACAGAATATGCATTATAAAGATCACCTTACAGATGATGAAACATGTTTGGAGAAGAGAGGTGGCGTGGCTAGCCCAACCCCACAAAGCTCATTAGTTAATGGAAGATAATAGGATTAGAATTCAGGTACCCTGCTCATAAAATCACAATCATATTACAACATCAACTTCAAATACTTGAGAGGACATGATAAGGACATCATCACACTTTACAGATAAGGAAAGTAAAACCAGGCAGTCAGTAACCACTGATGATGAGCCCAATGCCAATCATTACCCAACACTTGGAAGCAGACAGGAGGCATTCAAAAAATGATCCCATGCTCCACCTAACTACTGCAGTTTACAAGAAAAGCATATAATAAGGCATACAAGGAGATATAATTAGTTATCCTCTAATGACTGCCCCCCAATGAATTTCACATGAAGAACTGTTTTATTCCTGAAAGGCCTCCAAGTGAAGAAGGTCCTGTAAGCAGAAGTCATTAGCCAAGCCACCTGTTATAATCTGACAAGTTTATTTTCAGATGCCCACTCAGAGTGCAAGCTGTACCTGTGTGTCTGGTCCCCAGGTGCAGCTTCTGACCATCCTGTAAAGTTACTGCCAATGTTTTCTTGAATCTTCACAAACACTCTGAGGCAGGTAGGAAGGAGAGTCTCCACTTTACATATTAATTGCCTTGACTCATAACAGTTTCTTAGTTTTTCTATTGCTTTAGCCAGTCTTCACAGATACCTTATTTTACCTCAACCCCCCCACCCCACTACACCAAAGGGCAACTCTGCCTATTTCCCCCAAGTGTTTCAAAGAATAGTATTACTATTTTGTAGCTTTGCCATTAACTTACTCAGTAATATGTTTATACCTCCATACCAATCACACTTAATTTTACTTAATAGGTTTAAATATAAAATAAAAACATTACCCCCCAAAAAAGGAAAAAGGGAAGAAGGTAGGCAGCCTAACAAACCTTGCCTAAATCTCACACTAAAACAAATTTTCTACTTTCTCATTTCAGAATTACCGAGTTAAGAAGAAAAACCTATAAAACTCCCTTCTTCACTTGGCTTTGCCATTAGCTAATTGAACTGTGGAAGTTTTAGCAAAGCTCTGGAAAAGTTTGGATTCCTCCTTTCTCCTGACCAAGATCCTCAGGTGTACCTTGATAAAGTATTTTAAGTGCACACCTGCCCTGATAAGTTTTAGTACTGTTTTGAGGATGAAATAAGAAAAAGTATATAAAACCACTTTGAAAACCAGAAGATGCTACTCAAATAAGAAGCATTATTATTAATTTAAAAACCTCTCAAGAGTCACCAAATCCTCAGTGACTTTAATGGAACTCCAAAAAAGCTAGAAATAAGGCCATCTTGGAATGGCCTGACTCATTATTACCTAGATAAGTGGTTTTCAAAATTTAGGGGCCACTGTGACCCTTTCAGAGGTTCAAAAGGCCCTCCCTTTTCTAACCACATCTCTATGTAAGGCCATATTTTTTTTCACAAACTTTATTGAAAGCAACATATTACAATAGGATAAATGCAGAAGTAATTATGAGAAACTGAGAAGCTTCTCTTTATTGAGATATGTTAATGAGATTTGTAAAAATGTAACATTAATGCTACACTTCCCACCAAGAGTTTGTTGTTTTAGAAACACTTATTTTTCATCAAAAATTAATATTAAGATTGTCAACTGAAAAAAAACCACAACAGCCAACACAATAAAAGCCATCTGGCGTACATGAATCAAAATTATTCCTATTGTTTTTTGTCAAAAAGGCAAAAAATATAATAGAAAACAGGTAGACATATTATAAAAAGAAGCATATTGTTTTATTTCTACCACAGGAAGAAGAAACTAGTTTTTTAGAGATAATGTAGTATGTATTTTTGAAGTATTCCTTTTCATAATAAGCAGAAAAAAAAAGAAACAGAATATTGGAGGAAACTTTCAGGAAAAAAGTATCAATAATCTTACTGTTTTTGATCCTCTGGCACTATGTTTTTTTTGTTTTGTTTTACTTTGAATGGATTTTTAAAAAAGATTTTATTTACTTATTTTTAGAGAGAGGGGAAGAAAGGAAGAGAAATATCAATGTGTGGATCCTCTCATACACCCCTCCTACTGGGGGCCTGGCCTGCAACCGAGGCATGTGCCCTGACTGGGAATTGAACAGGTGACCCTTTGGTTCAAGGCCGGCAATCAACCCACTGAGCCACACCAGCCAGGGCTAATGGACTGTTTTTTAGAGCAGTTTTAGATTTACAGAAAAACTGAGTGGAAGAAATACGGATTCCCCATATGCCCTCTGCTCCACACGTGCACAGCTTCCCCATTACCAATATCCCCACCCAAGTGATACATTTGTTACAGTGGATGAAACTACATTAACATATGTATTATTTTACAGTTGACTTTTATATTTAAGAATCATGATAAGTTACTTTTTAAAATTCATGAATGATAGTTAAGCTGTCATCTGTTTAGTTATAATAAATTAACTAATTTCAGAGAAAAGAAATTCCACTAGATTTTTCAACAAAAGTGTTGATGGCGATGATTTATGTACACTGGGGAATATCTCTAGATAATATTTTTATGCAGGATACATGTACATGCCTTTAGGGTAGAATCTTTTTAATAGCCCAGTCATACTCGTTTTAGCTGATCTACTTCCAAAATTCATGCACACAACAGAACACCTGGCATCATCAAGCTTTCCATTATGTAAGTGCCCCATTTATCAAAGTATGTGAAACAAATTTTCTGGCATTAAAACACAAAAAATACATAAATTCAGAAAGCATCTTGGGAGTTCACCAAGCATTTTAGTTACAATGCAAATATAATTGCCAAATTAGTCTTAAAAGAGCTCTTTATGAGTTGTGAAAATAAATGACATCTGTTGCAATATCACACAGAATGAATTCATGGAAACAGAGAATCAGGTCAGTTAAATTCTCTTTAACGTTCAGTTGACAAATTTGGGATTTGCAATAATTCCAAGTGTACAATGTTGTATAAGGTCAACAATCTTACACGAGTTGGTCTAAATAATGCTCTGCACTATTTTGTTTTTTTTTTGAAACTGTTTGCTAAAGCCCAGTAATAATATGAATCAGACGAACTTTGAGGGCTAACTGTATGATATATGTATTTGCTACACAACATCTTTTTTTATTCATTCAATCCCCTGGAGACAGTATTAAGAAACCCAGTTGGTATAACTTTAAACTGCTGACTGTTAAACATCACAAAAATCTGTATTTTTATCAGTATCCTGTAATTCATTTTTTTGGCTTCTTCCAATCTGCCCCTTACCTGTGGACACTTTTGAGTATAAAAATTTATTATAATCATAATAATGAAAATTCTAAACCACCTTCTTGGACTGTACAGTTAAGTTATACTATTATCAGGAACCTGTTAAAGACAGATGTTACTATTCTTACTGTAAAGGTAGCACTTTCCTTCACATCTGCATTTCATCCAGCACGAGTTTCCATGACTAGACAACTGACCTGCCTGCTGGAACCTGTTGCACCACCCTGAAGGCCCCTGCTCAAAGCCCAAGAAATAGCACCGTCAATGGCTATCACATTGAAAACCCAGAAAGGTTAGATCTGGGAGAGGAGAACTGTAGGAAAGGGGACACTCACAATTTCGCATAAAAGTCACAGAACTCCTTATAGACTTTGACGTCACTGTGCCGGCGCTGCAGTTTGGACACAGCCCTCTCATCTTCATTGCCATCAGCCTGGTAGACACTGCTCAGTGCTGTCTGGGACACTTCTTCATTCTTTGGGATAACAGAGGGATGGTGTGCCCTACTCGAGAATGCCATCATTGATGCTTTTGAGCTTGAAGCCCAGGGCAGAGAGCAGCAGGACAGGAGACCAGAGAAATAATGTCCAGGCCTTGCCTGCTTCCTTGCCAGGGTCACTCCCACTGTCCTCACATACGTCAGCCACAGTCTTGCCAGGGTGGCTAGTGACCCTTCACATTAAGAGCTCCAGAAGCAAAGCAGTAAGTTGGCCTGAGAGTCCTGATTTATTGAGGCATTTTGGAAGCTCTAGAAAACATTCCAAAAAGTAGTAACCCAGCCTTTGCCAAGCAACCATCCTGGTGGACTGTGCCTGTAATCATTACTACAGGAAAGAGGGCTGCTTGGTAGGTCTCTGAGAAAGAAACAGTCCTGTACCCTGGCTGGCTGCTGCTGGCTTCAACAACCCCAACACTGTGCTTCTCAACTTTGGTAAGCATAGGAATCTCTTAGAGCATGTAACACACCCTCAAATTCTGTTTCTAATAAGCACCTGGTGAGCTGGCACTGCTGGCACACTCTGAGGAGCATCATGATGCCCAGGGCATACTCACCACATGTGCACCATGACAACCTTCTCCTGGATATCTGTGAGTTGGTGCAG